GTCTAGGAAGCTCTGACAAGAGAAATTTGATGTAAAAATTATTAGAAATATTTTTTTGTGGAGATTCACAGAAAGAAACAAAGGCATGGGGATTACAGAACTTTAACATGGCAAAGCCTTGGATACAAAAATGTGTGTGTGTGTGTATGTTTAGTTTTAAATAATATTTAATGACTTTAGGAAAAATTTTAACCATAATAGGTGAGAAAGAACATTTAAATGCAGATACTATTTTCCAAATTTTGTAAAGAGAAATTTAAGCATCTACTTGAAAAGGAAAAAAATCTAGCCAGGTGCCGGTGGTTCACGCCTGTAACCCTAGCTACTCAGGAGGTGGAGATCTGAGGATCACGGTTCAAAGCCAGCCCAGGCAGAAAAGTCTGTGAGACTCTTCTATTGTGTTTGTAATTACGCATTTATTCTTCTTACTAACTTTTCCACGAGTTTGTAAAAGTATGGTGGATTTAATTCGGACAATAAGGATAAAGGACAAATCCTCCTCCATTGAATCCTGGAAACAAAGTTGCTTTTTTAAAAAATTTGCATGCATTAATTATATAGGGGGAGATTTTATTGTTACATTTCCACACATTTATGGTGTCTCTTCCTCTGTCACTCTCCCTTGGGAATAAAGTTTTTTAATTAAATTAAAAAATTATTTTTTAGTGGTGCAAAGGAGTTTCAATTTAATACATCAGTTAGGAATAAAGTTTTAGTAACCATGAACAACCTAAGGAATTAATAACTAGAAGAATAATACCTTTTTTGTTGTTGTTGTTGGTCATCTGGGTTTAACTCTGGGCCTGAGCACTGTCCCTGAGCTCTTCTTCTCAAGGCGAGTGCTCTCCCACTTGAGCCACGGTGCCACTTCTGTTTTTTTCTGAGTAGTTTATTGGAAATGAGAGTCTCATGGACTATATCTGCCCTGGCTTTGAATCACAGTCCACAAGATCTCAGCTTTTTGGGTAGGTAGGATTACAGGTGTGAGCCACCAGCTCACGGCAACCTGTGTTTTTTTATAGGAAAAAGAAGCCAGATGTTCTAAGGTGATGTTGTAAATGACTTTTCCTTCTAGTAGAGTTTGGGTTTTCACTGCCATTTTTAGTTCCATAAGACAATAGACATGAAATTACTGCAACATTTGCAATGAAAAAATGCCAGGTGTTTTAAATGTGAACTTTGTTTTCTGTGGAAATATGTTACTATGCAAGTAGAATGAAGTAAAGATCTTTAATCGCTCAGACATGAATCTATTGAAATAGGCCATTTGAGGGTGCTACAGAAACAAATGACTTATGTGCTAGATCACCCTAAATCAGTTAGAGTATTATTAATTGAAAGTATCACTGTTAAAAGAGTAAACCGATTTAGTTTTTGTTGCTTGTTTGAAATGCCTTTAATTACTCCTTCTTTTCTCCCTCTCTCTCTCTCCCTCCCTCCTTCCTTCCTTCCCTTCCTTCCTTCCTTTCTTTATTTCTTTCTTTACCACCCTGAAGCTTGAACTCAGGGCCTGGATGCTGTCACTAAGCTTTGCTCAAGGCTAGTACTCTACCACTTGAACCATAAAGCTACGTCCAGCTTTTTCTGAGTACTTTATTGGAGATAAGGGTCTTGTGGACTTTCTTGCCAGAGTTGGCTTTGAACCATGATCCTCACTCAGATCTTAGCCTCCTGATTAGCTAGGATTACAAGTGTGAGCCACTGGTGCCTGGCTATTTTTTACACTAAACTTCAATGGATGTATAAAGGGTAAACAAATGCAGCAGTGATACTCATTAGATCTATTGAAAATTAACTATACAACTCGTGGATGGGGATGGGAAGGAAGAACTGGGAGAAAGTGAGGGGAGGGGTGATCTTGTTCAAAAAGAATGTACTCTTTACCTGACTGTACATCACATTCATAATAACAATAAAAAATTAACAAATAAATTAAGACTATGCGAAGTTTGATTATCAAGTTAAAATAGAATGGCTCTGAGGATTGAAGGAATAGAAATGTAGTTAGTCATAATTTTTAAATTTTTGTGTGGTGCTGGAATTTGAACTGGAGGCCTGGTGTTTGGTAGGCAAAAATCCCTACCACTTGAGTCAATCCACCCTCCTCCAACCTTTTTGATATATTCTATAATTTTAAAGACACAGAAACATTTTGAAGCAAAGCTCTCCATTCAAATTATTCATAAAAATGTAAGTATTAAAGTAACATTGGACCTAGCCTAGAACTTAGCTGAAGTAACAAAACCTTTGTATAAAATCAGTAGAACATCTAAGAAAACATTCAACCAACCTAATCTAGTTATTTGACATCATTTAGATAGAAAATACGGTTGACTTACAAAACATGTTTCTATAATATCACTAAGTGATATATATATATATTTATATCATGATTCTTTGTACATATGGTAACTAAATTACTTTTATAGCTGGCAGAGAAGCATATGATATCTACTTTAGCAATGGTTTCACGATTCAGAGATATAAAAGCACAAAACTTTACAGCTGGTAGGAATTACTTGTCTTTGACAGTTACTGGGTTAGTGTAGCAAGGGGTTATGAATATTTGTCCCAGACCCAGATCCTTGAGCCAGTTATCCTGTGTGGTAAGGGTCTTATCATATGTCATGTGTCAGCATTCTTATTTTGTTCCAGATAATCTTGTCTTTTTTTAATCTATTATTACTATTATTTAAATTAGACTCAGGTTATCTTTAGGTAGTTACAAAGGGGTTACCATTTGCACAAATCAGCTTCTAAGTACAAGGCATCTTGATCAGTATCACCCCTTTCATCATCCCTCCCAACCCAACTCCTCACCTGTTTTCCTAGATTCACACAATATATATACATCGAATGTGACTGCATTCTCCCAGCACTTCCTGTCTTCCTTTGTTTACTCCCCTCCGTGCGACCTCTCCCTTAGTTTATTCTTATATACTCATTTGGCATAATATTCTAATCACTGGGCTAAAGTTTTACTCACTACCGAACACGATTGAGGTAAACTGAGCCTAATTACAACCTTCACGGAGCTCATATACCCACTGCTTAAGCTGACACCCCAATTGTTCAAACACATAAAGATATCGCCTTCCAAGAGAGCTATTTACTTTCTGTAAACATCACTAAGTTCCTTTGCATATGCTTACTGAGAGAAAACCCTCTTAAATCCTTCAGAGGTTGGAATTTGTCTAAAACCAGATCTCCTTCCTTCCTTCCTTCCTTCCTTCCTTCCTTCCTTCCTTCCTTCCTTCCTTCCTTCCTTCCCTCCCCTTCCCGCCTTCTCCTTCCCTTTTGATCTGGAGAAATTGGGATTCTTAGTTACAATCAGCAAAGCGTCGTAATCCGGTTTTGCCTCTAGAGGGAGACATAGCCCAACAGTTATGCGGATCTCCATCTCCCCTACTCCGGTCCGCCGGACCCTCTCGGCTGGCACTGGCAGCTGCGGCTGCGGGAGAACTGGCTGCTGGAAGGCGGGCGGAGGGAGGGAGGCCACGCCGGCTGGTCCCGCCACCACCTATTATTTTCCCCCACTGCTTAAGTCAACTTGGGGTGTCAGAGCCGCGCCTGTGCACGGTGTCGTGACCAGGCAGGCTGCGTGGAGCAGGGGTGCAGGGTGGGAGGGTGGAGCCCAGGGCCCGGCCCTTTTAGGGTGACTTTCTAAAAGATTGCCACGAGTGAATTTGGACAAAGTGCAACCAAGCCCGCGCGCGCGGGGGGCGGGGGGGGGCGCTGGGAGACCAGGCTGGCTTTGGTGGCCTTTCGCTCCCTTCTTTTTTCCTCTGACGATCTGGATTCGTTTCTTCGCCCCCCCCTCCCCGCCCCTCCATCTCCCGGCTTTTCTCCACCTCCCGGCTTTTCTCCACCTCCTCCCGCCTTTAGTGAAAGGTGTGTGTGTGGGGGGGCACACCGGCGACACCTTGCCCGCCCGTGTTCGCGCTGGTGACAGCGCGCAGGGGACGGGGTGGGGGGGCGGCGGAAGGGAGAGCGGGTGGGAAGGGGGTCCCGGGGGGGGTGTCTGGGTCTCCCTTCCTTCCGAGCCCGCCTGGCGTTAGCGGGGCGGCGGGTTGGAGGGAACGCGGCTGGCCGCGAGTTGGGGTTGCTAAGTGGCGGGGGGAGTGGAACGGCGGGGCGGCGCGAAGTCTGGGCGTTGGCGGACGCGGCGGGACCTCGGAGCGGGGCGACCCGCAGGGGACCCCGCGGGGATAGCGACCCCCGGGTGGAGGTTGGTCCCGGGGCGGCGTGGGGAGGGGGTGACTGGGGTCGGAAGGGGAGGAGGAGGGTGTGGGGCGGGGAGAGCCCGGGCTGGACTCTCACAAGGATATAGTCTTCCGGAGCCCCGCGATCTGCGAGGACCCGGGACCCCCCAGAAGTGCGTGGCCGAGCCTGCCTTCCTGAAGGTGAATCAGTCTGTCCAATTGCCTTCCCCCCCCCCCCATCCCGCACTCCCCCCCTCCCCAGGAGCAGAGGGCGGGCGGGAGAGAGGAGGGAGGGCGGAGGGAGGAGGAAGAGGGAGTGCGGGCGCGCGCGGCTGTGCCAGGCAGAGCCGACGGGCAGGCGAGAGGACAAGTCTGGGGCCGGCGCTCGGCGCTGCGGCCGCGGGGATGGAAGGCGGGCGGTGATCGCGGCCGGCGGCCTGCA